TCTACATTTTGAGACACTATTTGGAACGAACTGTGAACACCCCAAATGGCAATTTTTTCTTGACCGTTTTCTTGAGAGCTGCATACAGGGCTTAAGTCGTAATGGGCAAATTCTACATATAGTTTGTTAATCGCGCGACGTTCTATGGCCCTAATCCAGAACGAATGAAAAAAATACGTTTTTATGGTTTTATTGGCGAATTTCTAACTTAGCAGGTTTTTTGTATGAATAAAATTGTTTCTGTTTTATTTATTGTGATTACAAGCTCAATTTAAATATTAATTAAAATAGTATTCCATAAATAAAACCAATTATATATATATATAAAAAATACAACAGATTTATTCTTCCATTTATTGCAACAAAAATAGGCAGTTTATAAAACATATATTACGTGAAGTATTCCTCTCTCAAATTAATAGTACAAAGACCACATATAAGATAATTTAAGTAGGAACGCAATAATGCCAGAAAGTATGATACATATTATTCAATCATGAGGTAAATTGTAATAGAAGGTGTGGTAATCTTCAGTAAGTAATCGTTTGAAATACTGGAGATCTCATACTTTCTGCGAGCAATCTTACGCCTACTCTCGTATAAATTCGGAAGATGAGAAAACGGCAAGGAAACAGCTACTGGGGATTTTCTTTGCGGTATTACTTCCCATTTGTTGGAGAATCTTAGTTTAATATGTATGTCGCCGCTTGGTGTATACGGTAGGGCTCGTATATCAGTTACTTTAGCAGCATCTTTGCCGCGACCGGGACGAAAGCTATTAAAGAATTGAACTGTGTTAAAGCTTTTAAAGAACGTGTAACTAAGATAAGTTACGTCATATGGTTTTGTATTTTTCTAGCTGATCTACATACTTCAATGTATTTTGCAGGAAAATGGATATCTCTTTTCTTAAGTGCTAGTTCGATAGTGGAATGGATACAATCAGCTTCCATTTGGGTATGGCCTACTTCAAGAAACTTTTGCTCAATAATGATATTGTTATTTATAGCTGTGGATAACAAAGCATTAGCCATAATACTGTTTCGGTTTTGATATGTGCATTCGTCGCTATAAAAAATTACTGTAATTGGCCCCCGGAACTATTATTTGGTACTACTCCTACCCTTTCGGAAACACAAACAACCAAAAAGAATTTGGTACATTTTTTTCTATCAAATCCATCCACACGCTGGAAAACTCTTCTGCATTTAATCTTCCTTCTGTTTCGTTCCACAAGTAACAATAATTTCCTTGAGATATAAAAAATTAAATCTTATACGCTGGCTATTACTTTGGCTTAAACGCATAAAGTAATACTCTAAGATAGAACAATAATCGAGCGACAGAAGCACTGTTTAGGCCTAAAGGCTAAACCAAATACTTAAAAGGGTGAACCACC